CGAGTGGGCAATGACAAGTGAATAGGTGGGCCTGACCCCCTGCACCAGGCCTCTGGCTTCCTCTGTGGACTTTCTAAGCCAATGCAGGAGGGAGGACCCACACGTATACACCCTATCCCCTGCTACAGGGCTGGGGCAGGTTCTCCTATCATGGAGATTTCCATGGGCTATAATTTAAAAACTACCCCTATGCAAATTAATAGTAACCAAAAGGCCATGGGCTCCAAATCACAAATTGGTATTTTGTTGTAATTGTCAAGCTTAATAATGTCCCTCTACTTCCTGGGTTTTAAAATTCTGTATCGTTGAATATTAATATTCCTGTATTAACAACCCCAAATTCAGCATTTCATATTTAACAGCTTATTTAAATGGAATTAATTTGTAACCAATTGTCTTCAAATGTGCAAGGCAATTTAAGTAAATGCCAAAAGATAAGAAATATGCTTATCCTGAATAACCAGCTGATGTAAAATACGGACCATATTTCTCCCTCAGACAACAGCATGACCCAAGAGTCCTCTGTAACTCTCCCTCCCCACCCAGGCTCTGGGACATACAGATTCCACTTGTCTAGGAGGGAACTGCCTCAAGCCAAGGGAGTACCCCACTAAGAGATGTGAACTTGATGGATGGGTGGCTCCCAGTTCAGGCCTCGTGGGCCCTCGCAGACCATCTCTTTCCTTTTGGGGTCAAAATCTAGTCTCAGAAAAATCTGCCCTAAAATCCTCCTCCTCAGATGCTAATAAAGACTGACCACATCTGATTTAGTTCCCAGGCTGCAGGAAGCAGTGCTCCAGGGAGCCCCGGTGCCCAAACTCCACAGGAAGAAGTCCCCAGTCCATTTCACTGCAGGATTCTCCGCAGCACAGCTCCGCCCAGCTCCAGCCCAAAAACAAGTCCCCCACCAGGCCCTCGCCAGCACCTGGAAATGAGCCTCTGACCCACTCATATACCTTTTAGTCCTGCCAGAGCCCATAGTGGGACTTCTCCTGAACCTTCCCTGGGCTTTGCTACTGTTCCAATCAGGCCAAACAAGGTGCCATGGCTCGGCCAGACTCCACATTCAGCGCAAAGACTACACAGACTTCTCCTGTTGCTTCCTTCGCTCAGTCATCATCACACCAAGCCACGGCCCTGCTGAGCCCAGGGCCACAGGGGGACTGCTCTGGCCTTCGCATGTCTAACATCCAGTCTGCCTCCGGTTCCCTCTGCTCCTGCCTGCTACCGCCCCCAACATTTTGAGACGCTGCTTACTCCTGGCTATGGGCAGCCAGCAGCCTGGCTCTGATCTTGGGAGGCTCAGGAAGGTCTGGGGCCAAGGCGAAGCTCACATGGGACAGAGCCTGAGGCAAACAATCCTGAAAAGGCACACTTGGAAAGAAGATCACAGTTAACTGCCCAGCTAGACTAAGGTCCCGGAGGCCTGTGGTGGCTGGGCAGGTGAGGCTACTGTTAGTCCTCTCCTCTCTGCAGGCCAAAGGAAAAAGACAGACAAGCCAAGAGGCCAAATCTGAGCTTTCTTTAAAGCGAGAAGTCAACTGGATGTGGTGCCTATAATCCTAGCACTCTGGAGGCTGAGGCAGGAGGATCACAAGCTTGAGCTGGTGACTTAGCAAGATCCTATCTCAAGATAAAAATTAAAATAAAAAAGGCTGGGGACATGGCTCAGTAAAAGGTTTTAGGCTCAATTCCCATACACACACACACACACACACACACACACACACACACACACACACACAAAGATCAAACAAAAATTTAAAAATCTAAGCTGGAACAGCTTCAGAGAGGTTTAAAAGAGCCAAAGTAAAAGTTCCAGGAAGAAGGAGCTTCATCAGGGCAGTGAGAGGTGACTGGGGACAAACAGTTGAGTATTAGAAAGTAGGACGACAGCAAGATTCATCTTGCTTAGAAAACAGGCTATTATTATCCCCAGCAAACAACTGGAGATGCACTCGGCAGGTGGGTGAATGCGGCTGCTGAGCCGCAGTAGGACAAGGTCTCTTCCCAGCTTGGCACAGAGGCTGGGGGTGGCAAAACTGAGGTGTTGGCAGCCCAGACTGTGGGAGGCAGGGGGTGAGCTATACTCAGAGTCCAAGAATACAGATGTGACTTTCTGCAGGGCAGAGCTGGGGAGGAAGGGGCACTTGCAAGCAGAGGCCAGGGCCCCAAGTTAGTGCCAATGGCATGCAGGCAGGGGGCACCCACAGAAGCCTCCTGCTCCGGTGGAGCAACCTGCTGTTGGAGTTAGAGGGTGACAGAGGAAGGTCTGAGGCCCAAAGAGAGGAGGCATGAGCAAACCTGCCGAAGGATGGAAAGAGGAAGGAGTGCCTGAAACAGACCGGGGGAGCTAAGGCAGAGAGACAGGTACAAGGGTCTCCCCAGTGGCAAGTGAACCAAATCAGAAACTTCAGCAAGAGCCCATTACCTGGCACCCAGCACGGAGGCAGTCTCTCAGCCCAGCCCACCAGCCGAGGCACCTGCAGAGTGCCCCGTCAGCCCCCACCTGGACTGGACCATGGGGTGCGGATGGTGCAGTACATACGCTGGGAGAAACAGTACAACATTAAGTCAGTCTTGGCTCTCTGCAAAATGTCAACAGCAGGCACAGTGGCATATGCCTATAGTCCCAGCACCAAGAGGCGCAACAGCTGGACCACACACTGAAGCACACCAGGACAATTTATGGAGAACTTGACCTCAAAAAAGGGCCCCAAGTGCTGACAGGGTAAAGGATACAGTTTGTAGAGCACAGGCTTTTTATGGACTAAGAAGCAACAGGGAACAGAAGATGAGGTATGCTTTAGGGAGAGTGTGGTCAAGCCAGGTATAGACATGCACACCTATAATCCCACCTACTTGGGAGGCTGAGGCAGGAAGATTAAAGTTTGAGAACAGCTTGGACAACTTAGTGAGATCCTGTCTCAAAAATAAGGCTTGGGATGTAGTTCAGCAAGGGAGTGCTTGCCTAGCACATGCAAGGGCCTGGGTTCAATCTTCATTGCAAAAAAATACAAAGGGGGTGGTGGGGAGCAGTCAGAATTCACAGAAGGTGATCCTTCTAATGGGATGGGATGAGGCCATCACTTCTGCCCCCCACAGACAATGACAATGGCCCTGAAGCAGCCTGAAGACCCAGCTGCATCTCTCCGCAAGATCTCACAGAGCCAGCAGAGCTCTGCCTTGGGGGCTATGTCCTGAGCTCCCATCTAGGACCACGCCTGCCACATCGTGAGGAGTTCAGCAACCCCCAAAGCAGACACCGACCACTGGAGGGGGCAAGCACAGAGCCCACAGCCAAGACCCTCTGCAGCTCACTGTCACCCAGTCATCAGCCCTGCTGGAGTCCACCCAGGCCACTGCACAGACTGGGAGATTGAGACGTATGGGGCACTGGGGTTCAACTGGGGTTTGCTGTGGGCCAGTGTTCCCTGCACACAGCTATGTGCAGGTTCTGGGTGAGCATGATCTCCTGTAGTCCTTGCAATAAGCCCAAGACATGTTTCACATGGGGGCCAAGATCACAGAGCTCGTCGGTGAAGGGGTCACCTCCTCCCAGCTCAGGGTCCTTCCGATGAGGCAGAGACTCACGCAGAGGCCAGAGGGCCATTGCGGACAGTCCACAGTGTTAGCAAAGGAAGGTAAGCAGGACGCTGGAAAACAGATGCTTGGCAGGACTGGGAGGACACGTGAAGGCTAGCTCTGGACAGGCAGCAGCCGCTGTGCCCACACCCCCTCCCAGGGCCTTCGGGGAAAAGCAGCTCCACGGTCAGTATATCAAAGAGCTGGACTAATCTGCCGGGTGTGGGAGGCAGGGCCACTCTGGGCAAACTCCCGAAAGCGTTCAGAGATTTGTGTGATGAAAAGAAGTAAACCTGATACCCACTCCCCCTACCCGATCCCTTATAGTTGGGGAAGTGATACATATTCATGAGCTTATAATCCTTCTAATCATCCCTACATCGCACATACACGCAGACTCCTGCAGCTCAGGCTCATACATAATTATAAGGCACTTCCTCCGTCACTGCCTCGGTCCACTAAAGGACAACAGAGGACACAGTGGCTGCAAAGACTGCTTAGGGGGTGCGGGGGACCCTGGGGGCCCATGGTCAGGAGCTGTCTATGCTCAGCAGCCTTGAGGAGCAGGGACCTCCCCTCGAGGGTGCTTGCAGCAGTGTCACCCATGCAGGCTCACAGGGCTGGTCACCAGCAGGCAGCACTCCCTGGGGAACAAGAGGCGAGAGTGACAAGGAGGCAGATTTGCAGCTTACTCTGTGTCCAACACTGGCCCTCCTTCCTGGAGAAACCTAGAAAAGGGGCTGCTTCCAGAGCAGGATTCAGGGCCTCAGCTGAAAGCAAAGTTGGGAAATGAGGACAGGTAAAGGGGGTGCCGCCTGAGACTGGTGAAGCAGTGAATACAGGAAGCTCTGGGAGCTGGAAGAGGTCAGTGTCAGGGCTAAGGGCAGGGGGCTGCAGGGCAAGGGTGTGGTACCAGCAAGAGCCACAGAGCTCCCGGCTGCTGTCAGAGAGGAAACAGCCACCCCTGCCCATTCACAGCAGCCAGGGCTCCCTGGGCACTTCCACTGTAGAATGACAGAGAAGGTACCTTCCTTGAAGTAAAAGATGGAGTGATTTTAGGCAAATTAGTTTTTTTAAGCATTTTCTCAAAGTGTCCAATCAAATCTTTTTTGTTTTTTGGTGGTGGTGGTGGTATGGGAATTGAACACAGCACCTTCATATTGAGCTACCCCAGCCCTTTTTCTTTCTTTTTATTTTGAGATAGGGTTTTCCTAAGTTGTCCAGACTGGGCTCAAACTTGCAACCTTCCTGCCTCAGCCTCCCAGAATGCTGGGATTACAGGCATGTGTCACCGGCCCTGATTTCACATTCACTTTTAGAAGCCTCCTGTATTTCACGCCTTGTGTAGAGAAAGACCCACTGACAAAGGTGTGAGTATTTGGAGGATGGAGATGCTCCAGTGCCCCGGGACTTACTTGCTGATGCCCTCGAAGGAGGCCTCCCTGCAAACACTGCCGCTGTCCGTGTTAACACCACGCTGAAGAGAAAACATACACAGAGTCACACAGGGCCACACAGTGTCCCCACAGCCTGCCCAGGAGGGCCTGCCTCCTCTGGTCAGACTCAGGACAGGTGAGAAGAGGGAACGCACACCCCAGCCTAGCAAACCCTTCCCTATCGCAGTCCCCAGCCCAACAAGGCTTCAGCCAGGTAACTCCAAGCCAGGCGCTCTTGTCTGGGCTACGGCTTGAAAAGCAGAGGACAGCAGGGCACTGTGGCATAGGTCTGTAATCCCAGCACCCTGGGAGGCTGAGGCTTGATCACACATTCAAACCAGCCTGGGCAACTGAGTGAGATCCTGGCTCAAAATAAAAAATAAGAAACTAGCTGGGAATGTACCTTAGTGTGAAGGCCCTGGATTCAATCTCTAGTCATACACACACACACACACACACACACACACACACACACACACCAGCATGAGATCCAAAAGAATACAGCCAGCCCTCTATATTAACACATTCTGTATCCACAGATTCAACCAACTATATTTGAAAATACTTAGGAAAAAAACTATCTCTACTGAACAGACCTTCTTTTTATCTTGTTATCATTCCCTAAACAATACACTGATACCGTGTAACAATTATTTACATAACATTTACATTGCATTAGATAGTATGAGTACCTCAGAGGTGATTTAAAGTGCAGGGGAACACTGTACTGGGTAGGTTATACCCGAATACCGTTTTATAAAAGGGACTTGGTATCTGCAAGTTCTAGAATCTGGGGAGTGGGGAGGGGTCCTGGAACTAACCCTATAGATTCAAAGGGATGACAGTCAAATCCCACTCTTCTAGGGATGCGGGCCTGACATCAGGCAGGACTCTGGTGGAGCTGTTAACATCCCTCTCCTTTTGCTAACTGTAAGGAGATGTCATATGCCACCAAACAGAGGTAGAAACAAAACAGAAGGGTCAGAGAAAAGCATGCCACCCTACAGAGGGAAAGCGTTTTAAATTGCCATTGCTTTCTCAAGAACTCTGTCTGGATCGATGTCTAACTGTACACCCAAACAAAACTCTGGGCCATCTTTGACCACAATCATCTGCTGTAACCTTCCATGTTAGCCACCAAAACAGCAGAGTGGAATAGAGTGACCAACTGCTAAAAAAACCAATCATTAAGAACTATTCCTGTAAAAATCAATTAACAAAGGAGAAAAGGGTCATTCTGGGAGGAAGGAGGGTTTTATATATGAAATCTCAAGGTCAAAGGACGACAACAAAGCACGCTTCTTCTCTGAGACATCCCAGAGCCCTAGTGCCCGCCCCCCAACCCTGCCAGGGCACCAGGAGCCCTCTCTGCACCCCACCCCGCCTCCACCTGTGCCTCCCAGCTTGGCTACCTTGAGGGCAGATGCCAATGGTGTGGGTTTTTTTTTTTCAAATTCTAGTAACAACACAGGAGATGTGATGCAGGAGTAAACTGACATTCTACATCCACAAAGTTCATGAGCTCAGTCCAACTCAACTATATCTAGCTGGATTTTAATCCCAAGATAAGGGTGGCACCTTATCTACCGTGGCCTTGAGACAGGACACAGAACAACCCAGGGAGACTTGAAGACAGGTTCAGCATTTCGACAGAGCAAGTGTCATGACTTAACACCAAAGACCATTCCTCCCGGCTGCTTAATCATCCTCTGTGGCCCCAACATTGGCAGAGGCAGCCCACTCCCTAACACCCCTTTCCTCTGCCCCGCTCCATGACACCAGCCACTTACCAAGGTGAGGAGGACAGAGGGGTTCTTCGACATCAGGACACTGGCGATCTGAAAGGTCAGAAAGAAAAATTCACTTTCAAGAAAATTCTAGAAAAACTCACACAAAGGGGTGTGATATGATGTATATAAATGACTATTCAATAACGACGGCACACATTTACGAAATAGGTCCTCAAAACGGGTGGTGCTGCTGTCCCCATCCTGCAGAGGAAGAAACTGAGGCTTACAGGATTTGATGGACCTATGAAATCTATACAAACAGCAAGCAGTAGAGAGGGTGTCAAATCTAAACCAGCCACTCCTCACCATGCAGCTTCCTGCAGCACACAGACCCCACCTCCCAACAGCTAAACCTGCCAATCTCCCAAGGCCAGCAGGTCAGCCCACCTGCCAACTCCTTCCTAAAAGAGCCATCCCTCCAAACCTTCAGGCACAGGGTCCCCCGGGCAGATGCCTCCCCTCCCAGCTCCCCGTTCATCTCCTAGATTGTGAAGAGTCTGCTTTTCTAACTGCCACCCTTGGGCCTCCACCCCATGCTGGGCTCTCCAGCCCTCCACCCTGCTCTGCTCAGACCTTCCGATCCTACAGTTGCATGGCTGCTTTCTCCCCCAGCATCTTCAGCAAGTATCGCGAGAGCTTGCCTCACCACACCTCTGCAGGGCTCTCCCCTCTGCCTGGAATGCCTTCCTCTGACCCTACTACTCCATCACCCACTCAGCACTGAGCCCCCGGCCACCACCACCCCCAGGCAGCCTCAGTCACTCCCTTTCTACCACCCCACTGGGATCATCAATCTCCTATTGGTAGGAAGGTATCTGTCAGACAACATTAGCTGTGACACCACTGCCCCAAGGGTGCTGGCCACCCTGTTGGGGGTAATTTCATCCTCTCCTGACTCTCGGCCCTCTGTGTGTGTCTTGCATCTTAACTACTGCATGTCTGGCTGTACCTGAGCCCCTGCAGCCCTGTCCCTCCTCATCCCCGCCCCACCCCAAGTGCTCTGACACCCTCAACACAACACGAGGAGAGGAAGGAGGAGGTGTTGTGGTGCTAACAGACTGACTGGGCTAACATCAACATACTCTATCCCGCACATGTTTAAAGTGGGCATTTTGATAAGTTTTGACACATGGATATACAGCTTCTTAAATACTGAGATGCTCCCAGAGAAAAGCTGGAATACACTGAAAATTATGAAAAGATAAAATGCACCTGCAATCCCATCCCCAGAGACATTTTGTTTTGCACATAAAAAACAGAGATCTGTAATGACATTTGGATCATATGAAATTACATGCTTCACTTATCTCCTGTCATTAAATATTCTTCAAACACACAATTTTCAGCAGTCACCACCAATGGGGAGGATAATGCTCAATAAGTCCTTGATTATGGCCTGCACCAGTCATCCTACACACATCATCTCACGGAACCACCCACGAAGATGCTGCTCCCAATGTCCAGACCTCACAGAGGAGATAGGTTTGCAGGTCATCAGAGAACTTGCCCAAATTCACAGGTAGGATACAGCAAAGTTCAAATTGGAACCTGTGGCTGTGTAACGGTCTCTCTTAATGGACACGCCGTAATTCATTTGTGCATTCCTGTATCGAGCACCAAAATTATCCCTAATGATTAGTTATGATAAACAGTACCGTGATGAGCATGGTGGGATATAAGGCTTTATTTCCTTAAAATTCAATTCCTTAGGCAGAGGTGGTAAGTACACACCTAAAACTGCCAGCGCTTTGGGAGGCTGAAGCAGGTGAACCACAAGTTTGAGCCCAGCCTGGGCAAGTTTGTGAGATCCTGTCTCAAAATAACAAGAGCTGGAGAAGTAGCTCAGTGCAAAGGCCCTGAGTTCAATGTACTGAAAAAAAATAAATAAAATCCTTAAAAAACTTACTTCTTTAAAAAAGAAAAAGAAACCGAATGTGACTCAGTTGAACTACTGTGCTGGGTCAAAAGCCATATACTCTGTCAAGGTTTATGACACCCACAGCCAAGTGACACCCAAGTACTGCACACAGCAACCCCCCGTCTGCCCAGACCCTCCCTCCGTCACTCAGTAACTGCTCTGAGAATGACTGAGCCCCTCAGCCTCTGTGCTGCACAATGAAAGGCTCAGCTGAATCCCTCCCGGAGGAGGGGGGAGCTCATTAAAAGGAACAGAGCTGCACATGTCAGGCCCTGGGTGTGTTGTTACGTTGCCGTGAAGGGTCTACATTCATCAGCACACAACGATTCCATCAATTACAGCAGCAGAATCAGAGAGCGAGAAGGCACTTGGGGATTGTATCCGCTATTGTCCTTGGGAGAGAGGAGCTGGATAACAAATGTGCGGGCTGATGGTTTTCCTCTCCGCAACGACTCTCCCGACGTGCTGGTTAGGAATAATGGAAAAGAAAGCCGCCCTCGCTGGCCGCCTGACGCACAGATGACCAAGGTCCAACGCTGATAGCAGGCTGTGTGTTGGCAAGCCTGGGCAGGGCAACAGCTTTTATTGATCACAACTGCCTGAGTGGGCCCTGGTTACCTCCATGGCTGCAAAGCCTCTCCCGGCCCACAGCTCCATCCGCCCTTCCCCACGGAGACCCATTAGCACTCGGCTCTCATCGGCACACCATGATGCTGTGCCTCAAAAATTAAGGGAACATGGCACAGCTGTGTGTTGCTGGCTTGAAATGCAGTCCCAGCACACACGGCAGCACGATTCTGTCAACCCAGGGCGTCATTTCCATAAAGCGGTGGCCACTGGGGACCCATCAGCTCTCCCCAGCCAGGGCTATTAAACGCCCCTGCCTTGCTACAAGCCACGGCCCAGCATTGATCTCCCGGGCAGCTTGGCCTCCCTGGCTGGTCGTGGTGGACGGCACCCGCAGAACTCATCAGAGCCCTGTGGGCCTGGATCCTGCTCTGGGGATGAGCAGAGGCTTCCCATAGCACCACACATCTAGCCCTGTGTAAGCCTGCAGGCACTCCTTACACAGAGGACAGACAGGACTTTCCCAGTGTAGGTTGGAAAGCCCACAGGGTCCCAAAGGGTGGGGCTTTGCCCTGCAGGCACTGAAGCTCTTGAAAATAAATTGTTGCTCAGGGCGGGCTCCTGAAACATTAGCGCACACTGGTGGCCTGCATTGCTTTTAAAATTGAGGATTTGTTTCTAAAATGGAATCATCACAAATAACATGGATGTGCAGCTACTCTGGAACAAGTACAGTATCTAGCAGCCCCTTCAAAGGACGGGTGGCTCTCCTGGCCCCACCACTCCCTGATGTTTCTCCAGGCTGGGGCTGCGAGGCAGGCGGCACCTATCCCTGCGGTGTTGTGGTTGTTTCTCTGTCATTCATTCTGCCTACATCTGAATCAATGACTCTGGTCCTTTCTAGCATTTGCTCAGTGCCATAAAGGAAGACAAGTGTACAAAACACATCCTCCACCCTGTTGCCTCCAGCTGGTTAGGGACACCAGCCCCCGCACGGAGGCTTCACAACAAGGTCAAGCCCCCTGCCAGGGTCTCCTGAGCAACCCCTTCCCAACGGTTCAACCCAGTTTCCTTCATGAAGATGAGAGGAACTATAGACAGGCTGGTCTGTCATCGTATTGGGTGATGGGGCCGTGGCCTGGGGTGGGGGCTTCCTGCCCTTTTTCAGAGGAGACAATCATGCACTGCCTGCTGTCTGCAATTTGCCAATGGCCAAGGCAGCCTGAAGTCAAACAGGGTTGAGCAGTGTAGAACCAGCTCAGCGATCCCTTCCCTGCCACCTTCCATGATGGAGTAGGCCTGGATGCCCCTCAGCCTCCCTGTACAGCCCAGCAGTTTGCACTTTTGGGCAGCTCTATTTTGAACTATATAAAAATAAAAGATGTGTGAGATCCTGCATCACCTTGACCGAAGTGTCCTGTAGCAGCCCCTCATTCTGATAGAGCAAGAGTAGGGCTGGAGGGCCTGGTCTCTGGGCCTGGAGGTGCTGGGGTTGCATCCCAGCACTTACACCGCCAGCTGTGGGACCAAGGACAAGGCCCTTCACTTCTCAGCCTCCACCTCCTCTGCTGTAAATGGGGCTGGCGCTGCAGCTCATCACAGAACAGGGGAGAAGGATGAAGGGATCCATGCCACCCCAAGGTGAAGCACCTGTGCCACTGTTAACACGAGCCCTTGCTTCCAACGAGAATAGCAGTCATAACAGTAACAAACTGATCCACACGGACAATGATGGTGACGGGCGCTGTACTTGAACTCTACTGATGCCTTCATTTAAAATTCTACCTTAAGGGGCTGGGGATTTAGCTCAGCGGCAAAAGCGCCTGCCTGGCAAGCGCAAGGTC